GAAACATACGTGGTACACCTAAGACTCAGTCCACAGCCTGCTGACTGGCTTGTGGGCCAGGGGAAGAGGAAGAGGGGACAGCAAGGAAGCAATGGCAGGAGGGAATGTTGAAAGTACACACCTGCAAGTGACAAGTGCTGTAGTTGGCCTGTGGTGGTGGCATTTGAATTGCGCCTAGAGGAGCTCTCAAACACAGTTGCTACGATCAAGTCTTGACTGCGTTCCTAGAGATCTAAGAGGTGTTTATTAAATATCTGAAGCATCAAGAGTCTTAGCCAAATGTGTGTATCATAACAGAGCTTTGGACCTCCAGTGGAGCACAAGGTCGTGTGATAATTACATCTAAGCCTTGGAAGATAGGGTTTTCTGATGCTGTGAAGGCACCATTTTACTCGCTTTTGAGGAGACTTAAAATTTCTTGTCTCTCTGTCAGTGATGGAGGGTCACTGCCTTCTTGAGAAATACAGAGGATTTACCTAGCCAGATTGTGCAGGAAATGTTTGGTAAGTAATACTTAAAGCAGTCCTCAGAAAGCTCCACTCAACTTCAGTCCTTTGCATTTTAGTGGTGTACAATTAGCTGTCAAACCTTTTTAAAGGAAGAGAAATGCAGTGATTGTATTTGGCATTATACAGAAATAGATCTGAAAAAGAAATAGCAAAAGTCTAATAAGACCACTTTTTGTCAGGTTCCATGTTCTGGAATGGGAAGCAAAAATGATTATCAACTTTATCAAAGGTATTTTTTTTCTCTCTTCTAAACATAGAATATGACTAGCTATGTCTTATTTCTGAAACAGAAAAGCCATCGTGGGATATATACTGTTACACATCTGACTTTCCTAACTTGAGCACTTGTAGATCCCTCAGCAGTGCGTGAACAACTCATTCTGTCTGCCCAACACTCATGATCCGGGATTTCTTTTCAAATTCTCTGCTGAAAACTTAGTTTTCTGTCTTTTTGTATCATTAACTATGATGTATTAAATAACCTTAGGCAAACATCATTTTTCATATTTTCAGTCATTTCTATAAAATAGACTCCTGAGTTGAAGTTGCCAGTTCATGTGGTAGATGCATTTGTTAAGAAGTTTTGTTATTTTTATACATTAGTCCAGCGTTCAGTATAAGATCAACATTTAAGCACATCTAGTGTAGGAAGGCATCTAAAACCCTTCCAGATTTCCTGTCCCTTTTAGGGTCTCCCTCACCCTGGTTAACCCTTCCCATCACCTTCTTGCTTAAAGGAAAGCACTGATCTGTTTGAGGTCGCTGCAGGTTTGTTTGCACTCTACAGTTTACATCCATGGAAACACATTTGGTGTGACTCCTTCACGAAGCATAACGGTTGTGACATCTGTTCGTGCTATTTCCTATGCAAATAATTTGTACAGATTTATCAAAGTTTGTTTATTCATTTATTTTTGTTTTAAAAATTGAGCTTGTAACTTTTTTGGTTATTTACAGCAAAAGCTGTTGTTCTAGAATCATTTTTACATATCTGTATGAACATGCGTTTTCTTTATCTTATATTTACTTTAATTCTTTCTAAGTGAACGCTTATAACAAAGCGGCTGGATGATACAGTCAGTACACATTGAGCTTTTAAAGAAGCTGGTAATTTGTTTTCCCAAGTGACTTTATCATTTCACATTCCCAACAGCAGGGCAGTGAAGTGGAATCTAAGGGCCAGCGCTGTGGAGTAGCAGGCTAAGCTTCTATGCTTGCAGCATTAGCATCCCATATGTGTGCTGGTTCAAGCCCCGGCTACTTCACTTCCCATCCCTCTCCCTGCTCGTGGCCTCGGAAGGCAGTGGAGCGTGATCCAAGTGCTTGGGTCCCTGAACCCACGTGTGAGATCCAGGAGAGACTTCTGACTTCTGGCCTCCGTCTGGCCCAGCTCCCAGGCATCGTGACCCTTTGGGTAGCGAGCCAGTGGATGGAAGTCTCTCACTGTCTTTGTCTCTCTTTATACTTTGTCTTTCAAATGCAAATAAGTAAATCTTAGAAAAAAGGTTGAACTTGATGTCCTCACCAACACTTGATATAGTCAGTCTCTCTAAACATAGCCATCCTGTATCTATTGCTAGAATATCCCATTATCATCTTAATTGTACTTTTGAAATGTTCAACGATTTTGAGTGTTTTTTATATTATTTGCTATCTATGTGTCTTCTTTAGGGAAGAATCTATTTAAATATTTTGTTCATTTTGAAAATGGCTCATTAGCTTTCTTATAAAGTTTTAACATTCTCTCTACATCCTGGTCATTGATCAGGTACAACATATACATTTTGCAAAGAGCTTCCTCTGGCGTGTTATTTCTCTGTGTACTCTCCACAGTGTCTCTCAGAGCAGGAAAGCTGGTTATTTCTCTGTGTATCCCCACAGTGTCTCTCAGAGCATGGAAAGCTGGTTATTTCTCTGTGTATCCCCACAGTGTCTCTCAGAGCAGGAAAGCTGGTTATTTCTCTGTGTATCCCCACAGTGTCTCTCAGAGCATGGAAAGCTGGTTATTTCTCTGTGTATCCCCACAGTGTCTCTCAGAGCAGGAAAGCTGGTTATTTCTCTGTGTGTCCCCACAGTGTCTCTCAAAGCATGGAAAGCTGGTTATTTCTCTGTGTGTCCCCACAGTGTCTCTCAGAGCAGGAAAGCTGGTTATTTCTCTGTGTGTCCCCACAGTGTCTCTCAAAGCATGGAAAGCTGGTTTTGCTGAAGTTCAGAGTTTGTGGATTTGTTCTCTTGCATCATGCTTTTGTTGTCATCCTTAAGAAATCTTTGCCTAATGAAAGTCACATTTTTTTCCTAAATTTTCTTACTTGTGTCTTATAATTTTGAGTTTGATGTTCTAAAATCCATCTGAGGTAATTATTGTATATCATATGAAGTATGAGTCAAAGATATTTTCTTAAAAAAATGAACATCTGCCATTTGATAAATATTACTATATTGTTCTTATATTACTGTATTGACCAGTAATGTATGAAGATGTATTTTGCTCAATCTGAAGCTTTACCTATTAAGAAAAGATAGTATTTGTATCTGTTTTTCACTTAACTTTAAACATATTACAGGTGATATTGAAGTCATTTCATGTATTTGGGAACTATTTCATTGTCTTTCTGTGAGCTTTTTCTGATCTTTGTCCATTATCTGCAATTGGACTGTTGGTCTTTTCTGGATACACCCTAGGAGTTAATTTCCTATTGAAACATTTACCTTCTTTTCCAAAAATGTTAGTGTTTGGAAACTAGTTATCCTACTTTTGAAGGAGCCTGAAGTGACTTCATTAGGAAATGGTGCTGAGTTGCAAGTGGGATCGTTACTTTGCCGAGACAATTCTGTTACCTAGAGAGCCCAGAGACCCTCCAAAGCGCTGCCCTCTTCCACTTTAATCCATTGCATCTGTAGAAGAGAACCACTCAGGCCAAACATTAACAGGCAAACGTAGAAGATCTTTGTGATGTTGAAACTTACAGACCCCTGTGTCTTGGATGGCCGTTGGCAGACAGATTTTAACTCAAGGAGATCTTTGTGAATGCTGTGAAGTCTCCTTTATCAAAACAGAAACAAAACAACACAGTCTGTCAGAATAAGTAACCATGATCTTCTTCGTAAATCCAAGTCCCCAATTTCGGTGACTGTGAAGTTGAGGACTGGCTCATCATTTTGTAGGAATGGCCTCACAAGAGTACACATGAATCAAAATCAGCCGGGACGCTCCGGGTGCAGCTGACTACAGTATCAGCTGTGGGAAAGGGGAAGCTGCCGCCTACGTGTTGCGTACTCACGTTATCAACTTTTATTTCTACAGCAGGCTTCCATAACATCAGCTTACCATTAGCGTCAGAAAATGCGTCCAGATCTCTTTACCCTGAATTACAGCTTCTCTTTTAGTTAAAAACTGCGGTTTAATTTGTAATAGGGAAAAAGGAAGCAAAACCCAGAACTTTTGGATTTGGGAGGAAAGAAGACCCAGGAGACCCCAGAAGGGCGGGGAAGCAAGGCGGCAGCAGAAGCACGCCCTTGCCTTCTCAGCCGTCTGTGCAGAGCAAGGCCCGGCTCTGCGTGGACGACAGGTCGGCAGCCGCGCCGAGGTCGGCAGCCGCGCCGGGCTCCGCGCGCCCACGCCGAGCGCACGCCGTTCTCCGCGCCCTGTTCTCGCGCGCCGCCTCGTGGCGCACGCCCGGGACCCGCAGGTGCATCGCGGAAGCGCGAGCTCAGGTGTGCGCCCTGAAAGGGTCCTTCTCAATCCGCCTCAGTTTGGCAGCTGCGAGGGGGGGCCTGATAGTTTCCTCAACGGAGCTGGCTGCAGCTCCTGCCTAGCTCCTTAATTAAGCATCCGGTTTCAGGTGTTGTGAGTGGAAGCCGGGGAAGAAGGGACCCCCGTGGTTTCAGGGTAAAGATTTTCTGCACTGGGAAAGGAGGGGACGCACAGAGCCCTGGCTCCAGGATGCTGTTCCCCGCTGCACCCCGCACAACCCCAATGGTAACTTTCCCTACCCTAGAATCCGCCCTGCCCCGCTCGTCCCCTTTTTGGAGTCGCCATTGCAGACCGAGGGATGGGGTGGCCGTCCGACCCCTCGTCTCCAATCCTGCAGGGACCGAGGGTGGGCAGTGCATTAGCTGGCATAGTGGGAGGGACCCCCTGGGCCCGGGTCCCTACCGGGTCCTACAGGGCAGGAATCTCTTGGTCGGGGGTGGCGTGGTCGTGACATTTGCCTCGCGCACAGGGAGCGTCTAACCCGGGCGGGAAAACTGCGTGATATCCCTGTCCACTGGTGACTGACAGCAGGAGGGAACGGAGATCCTGGAGGCGGCGGCACGGGGTCCTGAGGGTGCGGTGCAGGGGCGGAGACACAGCCGGGGCGCACGCAGGCCCGGGGCTCCGGGACGGCGGGCTGCAGGGGCTGCGCTCGAGCCTGGGCGCGCGGGCAGGGCGCCTCCCACCCCGGGACTGGCCCGCGCCTCGCCTCCGCCCGCCCCGCCCCGCGCCCGGCAGCCGCGCGAGCCGTCAGAGCGCTCGGCGTGTGGGCGCGGGACCAGGCGGCGGCCCGGAGCCCGGCATGGACAGCCGCTACAGCAGCGCCGCGGGCCTGGCCGACCTGAGCCCGCTCAGCGCCGCGCTGCCGGCCACGCGCGTCGAGGTGTCGGTGTCCTGCAGGTGAGCGCGCCGGGCGCCAGGTGGCCGCCCCGGGTGGGGGCGGGGGCGGCGGCGCCGAGACTTGGCTGTTTCCTTTCCGGGGGGAGAGAAAGAACACTGCAAAAGTTGTCTGCGCCTCTGACTCAGCTCCGGGAAGCCGGCCGCCGCCCCTTCGCCGAGCCCCGGGCCGGTGACGGGAGCCCAGCGGTGCCCGGAGCGTGGCCGCCGCGGGCCTGCCGGGACACCGAGCGCGGCGCCTCCCCGCCTCCGGCCCCGCTGGGCTTTGGCCTTCGGCCCTGGGACGGCGCATCCCGGGCGCCTTGGCCGAGGGCTGCGCGCCCGGGGCGCCTGGTCGGGCGGCCGCGTCCGAGAGGGCGAGCAGCCCGGCTGCTTCTCCGCAGGAGGGATTAGAGGAGGGGGCGAGCGCACCAAGTTGGAAGTTGCCACAAGCAGGTGGGTAACCTTGGCTGCGCTCGCGCTCTCTGGGAGACCCTTTCTCCCCCCAGGGTTCACGTTTCCCCCACCCCCCGCTGGTGTTGGAGAGCCCCCTCACGGGCCCTCAGCTGACCTTGCTTTAACAAACAGCACAGGAGCGCGGCCAGGGCAGCGCTGGCAGAGAACGCCCGCGTTTGGAGGCTGCTGGTATTTGAAACTTGCATGGAAATCAGCTCAGAAAGTCCCAAAAGCCATTGACCTTGATTTTGGCTCTTTTTTTCCCCTTGTCGCCTGACTAAGCCTCAAGCCTGAGGGCAGGCGTCTTGGCTGCTTTGGAGGTGGTGTTTGAGCGGAGAGGGAGCCCGGGCTAGCCGAGAGCAGAGTCCTCCCTCGAGGCTTGGTTTTCCGGACCACAGCCTCTGGGCGGGGGGCGGGGAGGGTTGGTGGATCGGTCCTGGCCGTCCTGGGGCCTGTGCCAGGTGCTGCCCCAGGGAACTAGTGAAGCTGGGAGGGTCTCTGCGGCCTGGGAGGGTCTCTGCGTTTTGGCCGAAGCTGTATCCGGATCCTAGAGGGAGGGTCTGGGTCTGTGGATGGAGAGCCAGGTGTCCTGCCCTAAGCGCCTGCGCGAGGGCTCCCAGGGCTGCAGTGCACTTGTGCAGGACCTGTCTGTGGGGTGGCTGACACCCGCAGTTGCCAATCAAAAGGAATTTCCCAGACCTGAGAAATCCCTTAATGGAGGGGGTTTCCAAACCTGTGGTTGCTAAGTCTAAGTTGGTAAGATTCCGAAAGTCAACTCAGCTACGTGGCGTTGGGCATTGCCCCTGGGGCCAGTGGGTGCTTAGGGAGACCAATGCCAAAAAGCATCTCTTGGGCGAACAGAAACCTCACTTGGTGCCCATCGACCAGTGGAGTAGGGCTGGTAGTTGCCATCACAGTGAGTCCGTTTCATTTGCATTTTGTGGAGAATGGAGCTGACAGGATTTGACCTTTGATGTTCCAGATCTGGCTACAAATTCTGGCTTTCTGTTGCTTTTGTTGGAGTCCAATCTTGTTTAATCTCACCTTCCTTATCTCCAGAAGGGAGGATAGTTACGTAATTTACCTTAGGGAGGATTATGGATAAAATGTGTGGTAAATGCTAGCACAATGCACGCCTCTGAGGAGGGTCTTAAAGTTGTTGGCTGCTGTTACGCTGCTGGAAATGGCACTTGTTGAGTACTCACCCACTGTGTATGGTACCCTTCCAGAATGCTGTAAGCTGTCCCTGCCTTTGGAACTTCAGGAACTGGGTACAAGAAAGTACAGCTGGCACCAGCACTTGGGGGCTTGTTCTGTGTTGGTGTGAGTGAGGACGCTGCTGTTGTAGGGTGTGTGACCCCGAATACGGCAGCAACCTCAATTCTTGTCTCGCAGGAAAGAAAAATTTTCATGTGGACACAGTTTAGTTTTAAAGCAAGATTTATTAGAAAAGTTGGGACAAAATGAAATTGCCAGTCCCCCTGCTATCTGGCTTTGGGGCAAAAGACCAGACAGGTGTCAGACATTGCACATTCCTGGCCTTGGGCACATGAGTCCTGCTTCTTCCTGCCCCTCTTTTCAATGATAAGGAGACCAGCCTGCGGCCCTCCCACACAAAGGCCAGAGATAATGGCTGATGCTTCAGATGGGGAATTGATACCTGATGTCACTCTTGTCCCTTGGAAGAGACGTGCTCTGGTGAATCCAAGACATGGTGGGGAAAATACCCTTTTATATTTGAGAAAAATAACAGCTTGGGGACCCAGAATGCCCTGCCTACCACCGAGTCTAACTGCTCACACACTGCAGGAGCTAGCTCTGGGGTGGGCACTGGATGGGCACAGTGAGGGCTCACTGGCTGATGCCGGCAGCCACTGGGGTGTGGGATACCTCCAGACATGCTCCCGTTACTAAAAGCTTCATCGCAAGGTCTCGTGTTCATCTCCAGGAAGATGCAGAAGGAGGAGTTGAAGCTTGCCCTAACTGCAACTCTTGGCTGTTAGTCTGTTGATCCATCCTTTAGTCCGTTGATAAATCAGGACTCAACAAGCTAGACCCACAGGGGTCGGGAGCCCTTCTACCAAGCCTCCCTTGGGTAGTGGTTACATCATTTTGGGGTCATGCAGAATGATCGGTGTAACATGAGCCTGCTGTTGCTTCTCTGGCCTCAGAGTGCCACCTGCGTTTGCCTGGGCGGGCCCGGTTCCCCCACTGCTGGTCTAGAATGCCCTGCTCTGTGAGAGGGATGTTCTCATTTCCTCGTGCGGAGATTAGGAGATGGACTTTACTCCTCAAGGAGTAAGTCAGGACGTGATGACGTAGTTGAGCAGAAGGGCTGCTTGGGGCAGAGAGCACTTGGAATGCATCACAGAAGGTCTGGGCCAAGCAGCAGGGATGGACCGAGCCTGGACAGATGAGGCCATGGGCGTGTGGTATGGGGGTGCTGACCGGTGGCCCTTCCTAGGCTTATGTATGTTTTTAAAAATTTATTCATTCTTATTGGAAAGTCAGCTATACAGAAAGGAGGAGAGACAGAGAGGAATAACTCTGTTCAATGCTTCACTCCCCAAGTGGCCACAAGGGCTGGAGCTGCGCGGATCTGAAGCCAGGAGCCCAGAGTCTCTTCTGGGTCTCCCACATGGGTGCAGAGTCTCAGGGCTTTGGGCTGTCCTTGACTGCTCTTCCAGGGCGCAAGCAGGGAGCTGGATGGGAAACAAGACTGCTGGGATTAGAAATGTTGCTCATGTGGGATCCTGGCGAATGCAAGGTGAGGACTTTAGCTGCTAGGCTACTGTGCTGGACCCTATGCATGTTTTTATTCATCCCTCCTCTCCTACCCTTTATCATGCTCTTCTTGTCTCATTTTTCTACATTTTATTGACTTGTAGCTTTTTAAAAATTAACTAGGTTACCTAATTGAATATGTCTACTGCTGACATGATACAATCTTCGAAAGATAACATTCCCATTTTATCCTGAAAGCAGATGAATGCAGAAGGAAGTAAAATCAATGGGAAAATGACATTCAGTGATTATCTATTTTCCCCAAGCCCTTGGCTATTTCATTATTTTGTCAACTCTTCAGATTGAGAAATTGGCTCATCAGTTACGCAAGCGGTGAGAGCATTGTGTGTTGCTGTGTTGTGTGTTAGCTGTCAGGTGCGTACGCTAGCACAGCAGTACTCCTGTGGCTGCTTTGAAATGCTGGTTTGGGAGGAAGAACAGAAAGTGCGAGTTTACTGATTGCCTACTTAGTGCCTGCTGAAAATCCCTTCTAGGAACGTCCTGCCTCTTGCATCGTCTCCCATCATGCTCCGCACGTGGCTGCGCAGTGTGACCTGGGGCAGTCTGGGCACAATTAGTGGACCAAACTGCTTGGGTCACTAAGTGCCTGCTGCTTCTGCAGCCCTCAACCTCTCCTTTCCCCACCCCAGCCCCCTGCCCTCCCTGTCACGTTCGCCCTTAGCTTTATGGCCCAGGGACCTGGTTTTCCTGCTTCCCTGAGCATTCAGGCTGCAGTGGCCTCGTGTGGCTAGTGGGCCTCTTGGTCCGAGGACCGTTGTTGTCTCCTCGGTGTTGGAGGTGGTTGTGGTGGGTGTGTGCTGGGGGCGGCAGTTCTCTGGTCCATGTGGAGGGGAGAGGGCCCTGCTGAGGTGTAGCGCCAAGACTCCCTAGCAAGATCTAGATTTTCTGGGGATCTTTTTTACAATTTACCACATGCTGGTCTCACATGCTAGGACTGTAAGCTGGGTTTTTTTTTTTTTTTCTTTATGCCTTTAAAATAAAATGAAAATAGAATGAGTGAAAGATACATGGAATTTGCCAGAGATCTTCCGTCTGCTGCTTCACTCTCCAAATGCCTGCCAAAGCCAGGCAGGACAGGGCTGGCAGCAGCCAGGAGCCCACAGGGCAGTCCAGTGTTCCCCTGAGGGAGGCAGGGACCCACGTTCTAGGCCCATCGTCTGCTCTAGCCTAGGATGTGCAGTGGTAGCAAACTGGATTGGAAGCAGAACAGTGGGGGTGCAGGCCTGGTGCTCCGGTGCGGGTGCAGGCAGCCCGTGCTGACTTAACCTCTGTTCAGAATGCCACGTGCGTTGGGGTTTGTAGTTTCCTGAGTGGGTGGGCCTGTGGCTGCTGTGTGTGGGTCTGATGGTGGGCAGGAGCGGCCCTGAAGGGACCTGAGGCGGGTCTGGGAAGCAGCTGTTGAATGCGTTGAAAACGGAGTGGTGTGTTACGTTTAATGCAGAGATCCTGAAAGGCGATCACTTCCTAACTGCTGTTACCGTTATCCGTGCTCACGACCGTCACCTTTGCCCCATATTTTTGTCTCTGGTGAAACTAGGCCGAAGCGCGGGTGTTTACAAGAGATTTGGCAAGCGCTAAGAACTGGGGCTTGACTTCCCGTGTTCTTCACTATTAAAATATTCTCTGGCATTTTGATACGTTTTTCATATATCATTTGTCAATTGCTCAGCCACATATCCTTTAGCAGTAAAATTGACTGTACGTACACACACTTGCTCCTCGTGCAGAGCCTGGGCTGCTGGAACAGTGTCCTGGCACGTGAG